TGAGTCGGTGAAACTCCGACGAAACAGTTTGTCACAGCCCCTCGTTTGTTGTCCTCTTCTCTCTCTCTGCCTACGGTTTACCGGGCAGTTCTGTTTGTGACGATATATATTTCTCTGCCTACGGTTTACCGGGCAGCTCTGTTTGTCACAAGAATATCAGAGCGCAAAAACAAAAAAAAAAGGGAAAAAAAAAAAACAAGGAAAAAAGAAATCCGGCCAGCAACAGCTCTCGAGATGGTGTCAGACCTTTCTTTTCTTTTTTGGCTCTTTTTGTGATCATGGTGTCAGACTCAGGGCGCACTCACACTAGCACTATCAGAAATGCATTTGATCGCATTTTCGACTGGACCAGGATGTATCTGGCCGCAATTACATCCGGAAATAAGTAAAAATGTCCTTGTGTGAGTATGTCCTCACTGAAATACAGAAGAAGCAGCAAAAAAAAAGGGAAAAAAAAAAAAAAAAAGACTCACCCAGCCAATGTTGACGACTTGAAGTGGTCGGCGACCACGTGTCCTTCTGCTGCCTCTTTCTATCGTCCTCCACAGATGTGAGGTCGAGGTCGGCGAGCGACAAGCCAGTGGCCGCACATATGACGGATGCCGCACACTTCCTACGAGCGCGGTATCGTGCGAGGCCGTACATGTCGCACACGTCCCACGGTCGCTACCAGTCAAAATACCGTTCGCATGCCCAGTCCCAGTCCCATTCCCAGTCCTCCATGTGGCAATCCCGCCAACGCAGTCCACGTCACCACCAACCCGCCGGGCAGCTTGAGTGGCCGCCACGTGGCGCTCGGAACGTCGCCTGGATACCGGCTGTGCATCCCCGCTCACTCTCACCTTCACCCTGCTCACGTGTAGGCCCCTGCTAACTTTGCAGGCCGAACGTGACGCTTCGACAATGTTCGAATTCCCGCCATAGCTGCTTTTCCCGCCATCGCCAGACGAAAGGGTTGCCTCGGTAACGGCGGAAACGGACGCTAACGTAACGGCCCGTGCAGCCATTACAACTTTCTGCTCTCCGTTACTCCTTCAATACTATCCTTTTCTCGTTTTCTTTGCCCAATTCCGGGAACGGCAGTCCGCCCACGAGTCTGGGCCAGGAGAGAAGGAGGGAGGAAGTGGTCGGAGAGGGAAGAGAGGGAGATGGTAGAGGCCGCTTCTATGACTGTTTCCTGACCGTTAGCCAGATTTTCCCTCCCGCCCAATTCACTATGTATGAAGGAAAGAAAAGAATCCGAGTACGTGGGACCTTGTCACCCGCCGGGGAGCTTTCCACTTACCGAGGCGCTTCACAGTTACCGAGGCGCTGTACACTTACCCAGCTTCGGCTTGATGCTGGAAAGCGGGGGTCAAGTTCCACCAGTTACCGAGGCCCTGTACACTTACCCAGCTTCGGCTTGTTGCTGGAAAGCGGGGGCTAAGTCCCACTACCGTCTTCCCCCGAACATAACGCATATGCGTTGTATTCGAGTTTTCCAAAAAAACGGGTTTTTGGAAAGTTAACCCTTTTCTTCGAATACAAGGGCACTTCGAATATAACACATATGAGTTCTATTCGAATAATACGTATATGCGGTATATTTGAATTTCACGCAGAGAAAATTGTTGTATTGAATATAACCTTTTTTTTTCCCCCGAAGGTCCGTGCTCTCTCTCTCTCTCTCTCTCTCTCTCTCTCTCTCTCTCTCTCTCTCTCTCTCTCTCTGTGTGTGTGTGTGTGTGTGTGTGTCTTTGCGCGAAGGCACTTCTGACAGCCAAGAAAGTGGCACTTCTGACAGCCAAGAATGTGGCGCGGGCAAGAAATTGGAAAAACAAGAAAGCCACTCACCAAGGTCTTGCTGCACTACCTAGGTCACCGAGACAAAAAAGAAAGGGGTTGTATTTGTCCACGGTCTACGGTAGTGGAAGATTCATTCGCATTTTGCACATTTGCTGAGGAGTGGAGCAACGGCCCAAGTAGGGGAAAGGAATGAAACTCGACCCGGAACATGGAAAGGTACGTCGCTACTTTACTTTTACCTTTTTGCCAAGGCTCTGAGGCTCCCAGCCGTGGTCCATAACTAAGCCTACTCAGCCTGGACACGACCCCCTTGTGCAGGCAAAGTTGGTCTTGTTCACTCGAACATAACGCATATGTGTTGTAAAGTTGTAAACGAATACAACGCACGGTATGCGTTGTATTCGTTTACAACGCATATGCCTTATGTTCGTAGGAAGACGGTAGCAGCGTTGAGTTCCTCAATGCCTGGAGGTGTGCAGAAAAATAGCATTGAGTTTACTCAACCCCACATCTCCACAAATACGTCCAGATTCGAGCGTTGAGAAAACGCAACGTTGCTAGTGGGGACATGGACCCGGGACATGGCCATGGCCCCGGGTCCAGCGTCCCTTGAAGCATAAGGGTCTCACCACACCAGTCTCGAAATATGAACTCCCCCATTATGGAAATGGAACACCCCTCGGACCCCTCAATACCATTAGCAAAAAAATCAGAAGATATTAGTGTATATATCCAATTTTTTTATAAGGAACTCTTAACCTCATAACGGGACCAGGGGGACCCCTTGGTCCCCCCGGAACTGGAGAACTTCTTATGGAACTCTACGAGGAAACTCTTAACTGACGCAGAGTCCATACTGCTGGATAAACCAATAACAATGACAGAACTAACAGAAGCAATAAAAAGCATGGCGAAGGGCAAGTGCCCAGGACCGGACGGCCTCCCAGTTGACTTCTTCTTGAAGTTTTAGGTGCTACTAGCCCCAGACCAGGTGTTATCGGATGCCCCCCTTCTCCATCGGTTCCCCCTTCCCCTCCTCCGCTCCTCGCCCCTTCGCTGCTCCCTCCTTCCTTTAGTCCCCCCTCCGCCACTCCCCCTCCCCTCATCCCCCCCCCTCCCTTCATCCTTTCCTTCTTGTCTCTCCCCTTCCACCC